TGAGAGCAGCAGATTGTTGATGAAAGACGCTCTCTGGTCTGTCTCATTAATCACTTTGGCTTTGTGATCAGAGAGCGGCCGACAGATTCACTGCGTCTAATCAAAGCCCTCCAAAATAAAAGTATCTCATCTCGACGAGCACATGAAGAATTATTCGAACTTTTCTTTGTGTGACATTTGTTTCGCCTTCTCCTCGGATTTAGTTTCACCGATTGTGGAAGCTGCTTCATCTGAGCTCGTGGTTAACGTCCTGTTTGCATGTCTGTCCCACAGCCAGGAAGCACACCAAGCAGGACTCCACCATGAACGAGGAGTGGAAGAGCATGTTTGGATCTCAGGAGCCGCCCTCCAGCCAGCCCGCCACGGTAACGCCACCCGACATTCATACGATGCTGTGCCGGGTCCCATTTAGTCTGAGAGCAGATGTGCACGACTATTCTCAGAGTTTAGAGGCTGCAGGTACAGAGGGGCGGGTCTAAAAGCATCAGGGACATTTGTAGTTTGACTGCTCACCAGACAACACTCAAAACAATGCATTGTGGGTAAACTTTCTGGGTTCTTCATCACACCTGCAGCTGTGTCGTCATCGTGTTCTAACGTAATTGTGTGTCAGTGCTGTGGAGGAGGAACCATCGTTAGATTTCATCTTCCGTGGGAGGAAACCTGCTCGACTAAGGTTTCACGCCTTCCTTTCCCGCGCCCCGGGGCATGATGGGAGATAATTATGTGGTTCTGGTTCCTTTCAGTCGCTAAACTTGGGTTTGGGTCCGTTCGCAGGCCGCCGACGGGCCGGGGAGTCAGATCAGGAAGAGCACCGCGGCTCTGGCGGTGCCCGTGCTGCAGTCGGTGGCAAGCGGCCCCGCCTATCAGCGACGCCTCAACACGTGCAAGGCCGAGCTTCAGCAGCTGGTGCAGCAGAAGAGGGAGCAGTGCAGTGCCGAGCGCATGGCCAAGCAGATGATGGAGAGCGCTGAGTGGGAGAGCCGACCTCCTCCTCCAGGTAAGCGCCGCCGCACTCGCAGCGGACCTCGGGCGGGGCGCGGGCGAGCTCACACCTCACACAGCTGTGACTGTTTCAGGGTGGCACCCGAAAGGCCTGCTGGTCGCCCACCTGCACGAACACAAAGCTGCCGTGAACCGCATCCGAGTCTCCGACGAGCACTCCATCTTCGCCACGGCTTCCAACGACGGTACTGTCAAAGTGTGGGACAGCCAGAAGATGGAGGGAAAGACCACGACCACCAGGTGAGGCCCTCAGGTGTGCCTGCCCCGCATGCAGAAGCGGCGCCGCGGAGTCACTCACCCTCACCATGTCTCCGCAGGTCGGTGTTGACGTACTCTCGCATCGGCGGCCACGTGAAGACGCTGACCTTCTGTCAGGGCTCGCACTATTTAGCCGTGGCCTCGGATAATGGATCCATCCAGCTGCTCGCCGTCGAAGCCAACAAACCGCCAAAATCCCCCAAAGTGCAGCCGTTCCAGAGCAGGTAACAGAAACCCGACGACACAGTTCAAGATAACAGCCGTGTTTGAGATGAGCACCAGGATATCTGACAGGAAGTCGGTCTGTGCTTTTTCAGGTCTCTGGACCTGCAGGAGGACGGCTGCACGGTCGACATCCACCACTTCAACTCCGGCGCCCAGTCGGTGCTGGCGTACGCCACCGTCAATGGCTCGCTGGTCGGCTGGGACCTCCGCTCCAACTCCAACGCCTGGACGCTGCGCCACGACCTCCGTCTCGGACTCATCACGTCCTTTGCCGTGGACATGCACCAGTGCTGGCTCTGCCTCGGTCCGTGTGTCCTCACATGAAATCTGTTTGTGGTGGCGGCAAAACGGTTTTAACAAAGACGTGCGTCCAGGTGTCGCACGAAACATTCACGTCTCTGTGTTTCCTGCAGGTACGAGCAGCGGCACCATGGCCTGCTGGGATATGCGGTTCCAGCTACCCATCTCAAACCACTCCCACCCTGCCCGAGCACGAATCAGACGGCTGCTGATGCACCCGCTCTACCAGTCGTCTGTCATCGCAGGTCAGCTGAGTCGCCTCAGAGTTCGTTTCTGTTAAAGTCTCCACAGAGTCATAAGTGTGTGTGTGTGTGTGTGTGTGTGTGTCTGCAGCTGTGCAGGGGAACAATGAAGTGTCCATGTGGGACATGGAGACCGGAGACCGCAAATTCACCCTGTGGGCGAGCTCGGCACCCCCACTCTCTGAGATGCAGGTGAGTGTGTGTGTGTCTGTGTGTGTGTGTGTCTGTGTGTGTGTAAGTCACTGAGGTGTGTGTTTGTGTGTCTGCAGCCGTCCCCACACAGCATTAACGGGATCTACTGCAGTCCTGCTGACGGGAACCCTCTGCTGCTCACAGCCGGCTCTGACATGAGGATCAGGTGTGACCCACAGAGAAACATCCACACAAACACTCCACCTCACAGTTCTCTGCATCGTTAGCTCACAGGTGGAGTCCACGGATCGCTGACGTCGCCGAGCGAGCAGCGCCCAGCTCACACAGACTGGTTGGCTGAGGTTAGCTCGCTGTAGCTGGTAGCACATCGTTCACCTGTGTTAGCAGGAAAGCTAACATTAGCTAAGATTAGCCAGACTCACTCAGTGAAGCTCAACAGGAAGTTCTGGTTCTGGCTGGGTCGTATTTCACCCTCCACAGTTACAAAGCTCCGTCCTGGCAGGAAGTCGTAGTCATGGAGAGATGATGTCGTAGCTGTGCAGCTGACACCGCTGGGTCATCGGGTCAGCTGACGCTCAGGTGTAAGCGCCGCTCTGTGGCCCACAGAACATCAAACATGGCAGCAGGACGAGCTCGCGGCTCTGTTCGTTTAACAGTTTCCCTGAGCGACCGTTGACCTCTGCTGACCTCCGTTCAGGTTCTGGGACCTGGCGTATCCGGAAAGGTCGTACATTGTGGCGGGCGGAGCCAACGACTCGCTGCACTGCCCGTCTGTCCTCTACAGCCGCAAGATCATCGAAGGGACCGAGGTCGTACAGGTATGCTCATGCACGCACGCACATGCACACACGCACACACTCTTCCTGCTTTCACCTTTGAACACTGCCGTCTCTGCAGGAGATCCACAGCAAACAGAAGAGCGGCGTGGTGGAGGACTCGCCCCGCCGCGGCCCGGAGTCCCTCCCTTTAGGTCACCACGACATCATCACGGACATCGCCACCTTCCAGACCACGCAGGGCTTCATTGTCACCTCGTCCAGAGACGGCATCGTCAAAGTCTGGAAATGAGGGCCCCCGATGACATCACAGCACACGCACGCAGGGAGGCGTGTGTTTATGGACACACGCTCCTGTTCCCCATGAACACGGTTGCATCATCATCACGAGACGTGGTTCAAACAGGAAGTGAAATGCTCTGCTGTAGACTCTGAGCCCTGACGACTAGTTTGTGCTTTTCATGTCCGTCAGTGTCAGGTGACAGGAAGTGCAGGTGTGCAGCTGATCTCGCTCCTGCCAGATGAACACGCCATTTTTCACTCTGAAGTCTTGTTGCCTGGATACGAAGGAAACCTGATTTTTAGAACCACGATTGATAGCTGCGCTGATGATTTAGGGATATGTAAATCTGTTGAGTTGCATTATGGGACATGTAGTCTTGTTTTGATTCATCTTTAGTTCAGTTTTCCATGTGCAGGTGTAATTCAGCTTCTTTAAATCGGAGCGTCAGCGACGCCTCCAGCTGAGCTCCACGTTGTTCCTGCAGAGCCCACCAGGGGTCCCCATCCACAACTTGGGAACTGCTGTTGAGTCCGTGTGACGTTCTTCTGGCTTCATTTGAAAGTGCTTTATTAACAAAAGGACTGCGTACATCAGGAGCACAGATTAGTCACCTGAGGTAAACTTCCTGTCTCGTTCTGATGATTCACCTGAACGCTGCTCAGAAGCATCGAACACTGTCAGAGCTCCACAAACCAGCAGAATCTGTGTGTGTGAAAATAAAACCATGTATGAAACGATGCTTTACGGCCTGAAGCAAACTGAGTGAGACCTGAGAACTCTGTGTGCACGTGCACCTGTCCAGACGTCTTTGTGGGGACCAAAGTGCCACATCGAAGGTGTTATTTAGACTCACAGTGTGGTTTTAGTGTCAGGCTTATAGTTAGGCTCAGGGTTAGAAGCATTATGTCAGTTACATGTCCCGACTAAGATATGAAGACGAGAATCTGTGTGTTGGTCCTGCATAGGTGCATTTAAACGTCTTTCTTCATTTTTTTACAGTTTTAAATAAAGTTTCTCTCTCGCGCGCACACAGACACACACAGACACAGACACACACACACACAGAGCAACACACAGACACCACAGACACAGCACAGAACACACACACACACACAGACAAAAACAGACACACACAACACACAGACACAAACACACACACACACACGACACCACACACACACACAGACAACCACACACACACACACACAACACACACAAACACGACACACACACACACAAAAAACACAACACACACACACAACAACACACACACAGACACACACACAGACACAACACACACAGACACACACAGACACACACACACACACAGACACACACACACACACACACAGACACACACACACACACGACACACACACACACAGACACACAGAACCAACACACAACACACAGACACACACACACACACACACACACACACGACACACACACACACACACACACACAGACACAACACACACACACACACACACACACACAACACACAGACACACACACAAAACAGCACAACACACAACACACACAAACACAGCACACACAAACACACACACACACAACACACACACACACACACACGACACACACACACAGACAGCACACACACACACAGAAACACAGACCACACACACACACAAGCACACACACACACGACACACACACACACACAGACACGCACACAGACCACGTGATCAGAGACCGTGGCTGTTTCCTGATTGGTCACAAAGAGGAAGTCAGACGGACACTTGAGATCATTTTATTTTCTTAAACCATCGTTGACGTGTGAAAGCTGCAGTTACATGGAGTCCACACAGTCCCGTCTGTGGGAGCGATACTGTACACGCTTCACTTCTACCTGTGTTTTTAATGCTGCTTCAGGTTCATGGAAAATTACACATCAACACATTAACTTCTCTCAAGTCTTAACCTTGTTCTCACATCAGCCTCCACCTGATTTATAAAAAGTAGCACCTGACTGGAGGGAAAGGAGCGTGGGCGGGGTCTGTGAGGGGAGTCGAGCAGCGAGGGAAACGGGATGTGCTCTGGAGGGAAAACACGGAGGCCCTGAAAGGTCACAGTAACGTTCACGTTTCCTGTGAGCTGGATTATGATACAGCACTGTGCATCTCTGAGAACTGAGCACCAACCTGCAATCTCTCCTGTGCCCAGCAGAGGCAGCAGTGAGTGAGTCGCCATAGAATCGCACGTTAAACCTTTCCAGCCTGTTTTAAAGTTTGCGTTACAGGGGGCGTGGCCTCTTTGACTGAGGCTAACTGTACAAACTGCAAGTCCCGAATTTGTATGTCTCACTTTTTTATGTTTCCTAATGTGGACGAGGACAACCCAGTGCGATGAGCAGCGACCGTGTCAGCTGTTACAGGTCACACCTGCTGGGACTGAGACTTAGGCGATCGTTCCTGTGACCTTTCTGGGCCGCTTTAAATCGAACATGCGTGTAAACAAACAAAAAGCAGGCGACAGATGACTGAAAGCGTTCGAGCCGTTTCCCTGATGGTGGCGGGGGAGGGCGGGTAAATGCTGTGACTAATTCATTGAGTGGCCTCGGCAGGTTTCCTTATGCCTGTTCAGCCGTGACGCTCTCGTCCTCCTCATCTGATCTTCGTCCCACACAGGCTCTGACACTCCTCCTGCGTCAGGAAGCGGTTCTTGTTGCCGCCGCAGCCGCCGTACCAGAAGCGAGCGCACTCCTTCTGTGCGGCGTCAAAGAACCACATCATCGTGTAGTTGTCGCAGCTGCCCCGGTCCTGAGGGAGGATACAGGAATCTGGAGGACAACAGGAGACGGATATTAGAGCACTGCAGAGCGAGACGTGACCCGAAACATCTCAACATGCACGCTCGTCCTTGTTAGAACAATCGTGAAATAGCTCCTCCTCTTTCCTTCTCTCTCGCTGCCTTTTTTAACTTGTATTTATTGGCACAAACATCGTGTGTGCGCTCACACTGTTCAGCTGTCACCGCTGTCCATCGCACAGGCGGGTCTTACCTTTAGAGGCGAAGCTGGCAGGCAGAGTCTTCTCCACCACATTGGGATCTGCGAGCGAGGACAGAGTAAAGTCAGAGAGGCGATAGCTGTGCAGGCGAGCAGTGATGAGGGCTTCTCACAGGTCGGCGTGTTCTGTCACTGAGCAGGAAGTACTGGCACGTGAGAAGAAGAGCGTCGCTTTTACTGTGACCTTTGTCCCCCACGTACATACATGTGTATGCATGTCCGTGTGCACACGGAGTCTGAGCGTGGACAGCAGTAGCAGAGGGCGTGTTATCAGCGCGACCACAGAGGACTTTAGTAGCAAGCAACACGCAGAGCATCCTGTTAGCTGTCCGCTGATAGCAGAGGTTAGTGGGTCCACAGACGTGGAGCGGTCAGCTTGTGTGCAGTCTGGACTTACGCTGGTTCCCACATGTCTGGAAACATTCATATTCCGTTCTAAAGCGGTTGGCGTTGCCGCCGCAGCCGCCATACCAGAACCGAGAGCATGCACCGACGTTTGTGTCAAAGAACCAGGCTGTGGCGTATTTCTTACACTGGTTGCCGATATCAGCGGGCAGCTGACACCGGGCTGAAAGCAGAACACACACATTTACTACAAACAGGCAGCGGCTCCAGCACAGACTGACTGAACGCCTGCATTCCTTCTGATGACCAGCAGGGGGCGACTCAGGAGGAGGAAGCTTTGGGAGAAAGTCTCTGTTTTGAGGGAGGGATGCCAATTTTTTCCCACTGTGACCATACTGCCACGGCCCCAAGAAACACCTTCAAACATAAAGATACAGCGACGGAGCAGTCGGCTGCAACTCTGGGGTTCAGATTCTGAAACCAGAATTTATCCACCTGAGCCAGTGTTGTTGTTAGCAACCTTTATTCCATCATCAGCTCTGTCATCCATCATGGCTGACAAACCAGCACACCCTCCTACCCCGAGCTCCTGTACGTGATGAAGGTCCGCCTCCTTGAGTTGCTTTTACTGCCTCTGAGAGAATGCAGGCTACGTCCGTCTTTTATGTACAGTCTGTGGCTGAGACCCGCTGCTCATGCAGTCGAACAAAGACACGAGGTTAAAGCATACATGACACGCAACATGCCCACCACATCTGTGCAGCTGCTGAAGGAGAGAACATCTGTACACACTTTAATGAAAAGAGTTTGTCTGAACCCTGCACACGACGTCCTCTATTGTATAGAATTCATTTACTGTGTATATGTTGTACTCGTATTACCGTGCATGTGACAAATAAAGAATCTTTTCCTGCTGAACCTCAGAGGTCAGAGGTCGTGTACCCCTGCCATTATGTAAGGCGTTGTCAGAGCGGTCCTTCACCTGCAGCAGTGTGTCTGCGCCGTGTGTGCGGCTACCTTTGACGTGCGTGTCAGAGATGACTTTCTGGCCATTTCCTCTGATCAGAGCGTCGATGACGTCCAGCTGCCCAGTCTGAATCTGTCCTCCAGTCTGCTCCTGGAAGTCCTCTTCCACCTCCTCTCCAAACACGTCCTCCAGCTGTGCCACACCCTGACTGAACACAGCGACCACATGTGTGGACACACTATCACCATGTGAGAGCCTTTCAGCTTCCTAATGCACAACAACTCTTCTTGATTCTCCCAAAGTCAAACATCAACCAAGAATTAGAAATTTCAGGAGCTGCAAACTTTTGTTTTAGTTGAGGCCCACGTGATGGCGATGCGAGTGTGTGATTTACCCCGTTATGAATATCTGTCCTCCCTCCTGGCCGCCCAGCTGGTCACATGCTCGCCTCAGAGAGGGAGGAGGATACGAGGTGACTCCCTCTGAAACAATCACGGGACAAACACAGTGATGGTGAGATATACTCTGCGGTGAAACGGGAAAGGAACTGATGGTTACCGTGAACGTTTAAAGGAAAGTCTGAAATGATAAGTGATAATGACCCCTTCCTTCAGGTGTTCCAGAACACCAGTAATCTAATCTGACTGCTGCAGATGGGAAACATCTTACTGTTGAGGGCGGAGAGGAAGACCCTGATGAAGCGCTGGGCGTAGCCCTGCTCGTCGGCCTTCAGCCTGTCGAGTCTGATCAGGTGCTGCTGTATCGGCACGCTGGCCAGCTCCTCCACCTCCATCCGGTTGTAACGATCACCCACCGCCACCACAAACAGCGCCACCCCCTCACACTTGGCCTTCTGGGAGATGTAGCGCAGCTTGGCCTGGTCTCTGTAGGCCGTCTTGGTGCCCACCACAGTCAGGACGGCCCTCTTGCTGCGCGACTGGCCGGCCTTCAGCAGCACCTCCCTCAGGGTGTAGTCCAGCATCTGTCCCAGCGCCAAAGAGCCGCCCTGCCGCTGCATGTTCTGCATCATGTACGTCTTCATGTCTCCAGCGTTCTGGTAGGTCTGCAGGCCGAACTCCACCTTGGTGCTCTGTTGGACCAGAGCTACTCGGGCCTGGCGGCCGGCTCGGCGGGGCTGTGGACTCACGGCCAGCTGCTCCACCACAGAGCTCAGCAGCTGCCGGGCACCGGCGTATTCATCGGCCTGGATCTCCCTGGAGCTGTCCAGCACCATGACCAGGTCCACATCCGCCTGCTGAGGCAGCACTGGTTCCTGGATGAAGGCGCACTCCTCTGCACGCCTGCAGGGGTCTGCAGAGATATCAGAAAGCGTGATGCTGATGACAGGAAGCTACAAAAGCTACAAGTGACCTGTCGTGTTTGTGCACATCAGATCTCGGACTACTCGACAGGAACCAGGATGCTGTGGCACAGAAGCATTTAGAAAACACGCCAGCATATTCTAATTATTGAACCTCATGGAAGGTCTAACAGTGTGCTCTGATATCAGCCAGCGTGCTGTTACCCATGGGTTCAAAGGTCAACAGGAAACACAGCACACACTGGCACTGTGCACACAGATCCATCAGATCATTCATTGTGCATTTATTATCACTGACTCTCAACCCCGAGTACTGAAAACACGTTCTTTGGCAAAAAGACTGCAGTGGTCTCATTTTTCATGTACAAGGAGTCAGTATTAGTTTGACAGCGTTCTGCTCGCTTACGCTGTCAACCACGAAAAGTCAGAAGAGAGATCAGAGCAGAAAACGATGCTCACCGTAGCAGATGGCGCAGTTCCTGACCTTCCTGAGCCCAGTGGCCCGTTCTCCCAGCACCGTGAACACAAAGTTTCTCAAGTCATCAACCTGATGGGAAACATTGAACAAAGCGCTGAGTACAAGGTTACAATGAAATCTACTCATTAGACATCGTTGTTCAGACTCAAACGATCTTAAGTGATTGAATCTGAGCTTCCTTTGTTTGCAGAGACGCTCGCAGTGAAGCATCGGCTGTTTGTTCTGCAGAGCCGGATGTTGTCCTGATGTTTCCACGTGTGAAATGTGTTAGTTTGATCTTAGTGAAAGGAGAGCAGAGCGGTCCTGGAGGTGCACCATCAGTGGCTCATGCTTTACTTTCTCCTGGAGAGAGGAAAGTTGCAAAGTCAGCACCGGTCCCGGTCCATCACTTCTGCTCAACATATGAAGTACAGCGTCGTGGAAAACTCTTTATCCCCGTCCTAATGTCTTTGGTCTGCGGGAGTTTTCTCCTGGGATCGCTCCCACGGAGGCCATGTTGTTCTGGGTTCTTCTGTGACCTCCTGGTTGAATCGTTGATGCACTCTTGGAGTCTTTCGCTTGTCCAGTTGCTCCTGAGAAGGTTCAGCATGTTCCAGGTTTTCTCCATGTGTGGATTATGGCTCTCGCTGTGGAGTCTCACAGCCTTAGAAATGTCTCTGTGACCTTACTGGCTTTGTTTTCAGCTGCTTCTGTAGGTCTTGGTGTGATGTGATCTTTTAGCCTGCTTTACTTTGTCAGACAGCTTCTAACTAGGAACTAATTGTACTGATTCATAAAGGTGCAAACTACAGTCAAGATGGCGCCGGTGCACATGGCTTGCCGTCCTCGGCTGTATCTGTTTCGCTGCTTTCTACCCCCTCTACGCTCTTTTACGGACCTTGGCATTGTACTTTTGATCCTTTTAGTTGTATGCTCATCTAATGGCTGAGCACTGATTACAGGCAAACACTTTTAAATCTAAGACTCTCCCATTCCTCTCGGGCTGATCCTTGCTGGAATCTGGGCGACGCCACCGCGCCCCAACTGGACCCTCCGACCGGCTTCTTCCACCTACCTCTTCCTAACCAAGAAACGCTACAGGAAATGCGGTAGAAGGAGCGGCCGTCGCGTTCGCCTCAGGGTCTACTTTAAAACCAGAGCACCGGCTACCCACATGCCAGCCTGGACATTTGATCTTTTTCCCTCCTTCCAGGAGGTTAACTTAGGCACCTTCTCCTCTTCCCCTGCACCGGTCGGGTAGGGGTGGCGGCATAGCCTCGGTTTTTAAAATTCATATGCAGTTCGGCAGCTACCCTCACCTACCTACACTAGTTTTGAAGTCCAGTTATTGGGGATGACTGCATCCACGACCACACTCTGCGTGGTGGTTTACCGACCGCCTAAATATAGCAAATGTCTTATCACGGACTTTGCTGATCTCCTAGGCTCCGTTCTTTTTAAATTTGGTTGTGTTCTCATTGTGGGAGATTTTAACATACACACTTGCTGTAAGGATGACTCATTTGCTAAAGACTTCCTTGCTTTAACGGACTCTTTTAACCCGGCTCAGTGGGTTAATGACCCAACGCATGTTAAAGGACATACTTTGGACTTGGTTTTCTCATATGGTCTGGACATTTGTTTTGTGTGCAGAGGCAGAACGTACCCAACGGGACCTCACCTGTCATGTAACCTGTAAGCATTTCTGGGTGTACAGATGGGTAGGCCAGAAAAAGAGTGAGTAGATGTCTGTACAGAGCAGGAGCGTCTCAGCAACATGAGACATCATTGGTCAAGGCCACAAACGCCATTCCAGGCAAAACTCCTGGGACTCCTCCTGCTCCACAGAAACTCTTCAAGTTTCCGTGGTAGCCGCATGAAACATCAACAGATGTTTTTATACTCGATACGCTGACGTCATCATTTCTGGTGTCTCATACAGAAAGTGGATTTTCCCCCCAAGAGTTCAGAGCCTTCAGGAAATCTAAATGGTGGCAGAGTTGGTATAAATGAGGCTTTATTTAAGAAGTTTGTTTGAAGTAAAGGAGCAGCACTTCAAGCACTATCGTCAGATGTCTCCTAAAGAGGAAACACATCTTCATCTTCCTCGTGATGTGGTTCTTTCCAGGTCTTCTGGCTCAGCTCCCTCTTCATGCCTACTGCTGACACCGCTCCACTTTCCTGCTGGATTTTGTAATCGGTTTTCCAGCTTCAGCAGGGATTGGGAAAACTGCTGCGATTCCTTTAGTCCTGTGCTAATGTGCAACCCGCACCCCGCTTCAGACCGAAGGCAAAACAGTCTGAAGAGACTGACTCAGTCAACATCTGGATGAAAAACATCTGCAAGTAGCTGCAGGTAAATGACACCTACCTGCATGGCTTGTTCAATATCGGGAGTGTTCCTCAGAGAGATGACCGCTGGAACAATGTTGAGGGCCCGGTACTCCATCATGGCCGTTACAATGTCGTTAGCGCCCTCTGTAGGCCCGCTAGAAAAGAAGACGGCCACCTTCCTCATCATTATTCCTGCTCGGACTCGTTTGAAGATGTTCTGACCCACGAAGCGCATGGCGGCGCCCAGCTGCCGTTTGTTGGACGTCCTCTCCTGGGCGATGTTCCTCACGGCCTCTAGCAGCTGTGCCTTGCGCCGGTAGTCCTGGAAGCGGATCAGGTACTTGGTGTAGGTGTTGTATCCCACCACAGCGACACGCGCGCCGTGCGGGCAGTTACTCTCTGCGATACTGATGTCATTCAGCAGGGAGAGGAGGGCGGAGCGCTGCCTACCAAAGTCCCCCGGGGTCACGTCATCAGACATGTCGAGACCGAACACCAGCTCGGTGGGGTAGGCCGGGCACGCCGACTGATCTGACGGGCAAAGAGGAGCTTGTGTTAAACTTTCAGCAGCCACCCGTTCATCAGTCACCAGGCTGGTGTCACGTTTATATCGGATTATACGAATCTGTTTACATAAAGGATATTTTACAACTGTAGAGCTAAACGTTTTAATCACAGAAGTGTGAGTCGGGGTAAAGGTGAGCAGTCCCAGCAGCATCTATCAAAGGGAGGCTGTGAACGCCTCTCATGCTAACGTCCACACTGATGAACCTCAGCTCTGTTTGCTCATGCAAAGCTGCTCTCATACCATCGGAGACCAAACATCTGTGTAATTCTTAGATACAACCTGGTGCTCCTGTTTCTGCAGTGAAGCCATAAAAATAAAACTAGTTCATTAACCTGCTAGGACCTGGCGTCCACATATGGGGACGTCACATTTTGGGTTGTTTAGACAAAAATACTAAGCTTTGCTTTCACAGGAGCCATATTGTTGTTTCTCATTTTGCTCCTGTGCACATCATTGCTCAACTGTGACTTTATAGTTTCCTATCAAACACCATAAAGTCCCAATAGCAAAGAGAATTAAAAATGCATGCCATGAAAGAGTCGTAGGAGGTTAAATATACTTAATTACTTAATTATACTTACATATACTTTCTAATGAAAGTGTTTGTTAGAGAAAACATTCTAAAACACTTCTTCAGTAAAGACTCAGAGAAGAGAAACACACAGAACTTCTTGCTAGCAAGGGCAGCCTCCAGACTGAGACTCGCACTGAGAAACTGCCCCGGTCTTTATTTTATACTTCAGTGTGTGTGTGTGTGTGTGTGTGTGTGTGTGTCCTGCTGATCAAAGGGTCATATAACATGAAAGCACAAAAGGTACATCCTTGGTCACAAAGAGGGTAGTCTCCCCGACCCTAGATAACACGGCGAGGAAGTCCAGCAGTTCATCTAAACAAAAGGCACTTAGACTAAAACAGACATAGCTACGTTAAAGCAATAAAACAAGGTGCAACCTCTCATGCTCCCAGGACGTGGGGGTGCATTCCTGGAGTGCACACCAAGCCTGCAGCCTGCTAGAGATCACACATCCTGTCACTACACAATTAATTATATGCCTCTAAGCATACATGGTTAAATATTTCCTAATACAAATAACTACACGCAGTATTCTATCATATGCAAACTTATATCACTAAAAGATTATACTGACTACTAAATACAATTTTCCATTGACAGTGTTTCAGGTCGAGGTCACACAGGAAATCTGCGTTTGGCTGATTGTTTCTTTGCTGTTAAACTGCTGCTTTCTTCCCTACGTTTGAAAGGAGAAAGATTTTTGGGTTGAGCAGAAACTGAGCTAAGAGGTGGCTGTGGTGGATACTGGGCACCAGTACAGCTGCCCAGCAGGTTTCTAAGTAGTGCAACAAACCCAACACAAGCTGCAGCCTGACACCAAGCACGCTGTGTGTGATCGGACCTGCATCGCTCTTTGTGCAAAGTTTGTATAATTAAAAAAATACATCTGCGAATGAGTCAAAGATGCTCAAAGACCACTGTAGTGGTGCAGAGAGAGAGACGTGTGTTTCCAGTACAGAGACCTGTGGGGTGCTGAGCTTATCAGGGGTGGAAATATTCACAGCTGTCCCACACATCTGCATGGACCCACACATCTGCACGGACCCACACATGCTTTAGATCCACAGACTCACCAAACACCAGAAGATTAGATGTTTCATCCAGATGGTCGGAAACTTCTTTTGTTTGTAGCTTTCAGTCATTCTCAGAATTATTTCAACCTCCTATGAGCTGAACTCTTTCATGGCAGGATTAAAAAGTTCTCTTTGATATTTGGGCTGACTGGGACCTGATGAATGTAAAAACAAAGAATGACCAGATTGTGTTCTCATTGTGGGAGATTTTAACATACACACTTGCTGTAAGGATGACTCATTTGCTAAAGACTTCCTTGCCTTAACGGACTCTTTTAACCCGGCTCAGTGGGTTAATGACCCAACGCATGTTAAAGGACATACTTTGGACGTGTTTTTCACATGGTCTGGACATTTGTTTTGTGTGCAGAGGCAGAACGTACCCAACGGGACCTCACCTGTCAAGTAACCTGTAAGCATTTCTGGGTGTACAGATGGGTAGGCCAGAAAAAGAGTGAGTAGATGTCTGTACAGAGCAGGAGCGTCTCAGCAACATGAGACATCATTGGTCAAGGCCACAAACGCCATTCCAGGCAAAACTCCTGGGACTCCTCCTGCTCCACAGAAACTCTTCAAGTTTCCGTGGTAGCCGCATGAGTCGCTGTGACATTAACAGATGTTTTTATACTCGATACGCTGACGTCATCATTTCTGGTGTCTCATACAGAAAGTGGATTTTCCCTCCATTTTTTTTTTACCTAATTTTTGTTTCTGAGACAAATAAGAGCCACATGTGAGGACGTTGGTTTTAAATTTTGATAGAACAGTGGCAGTATAACGTCCTCGTAACTGGATATCAGGCCCTTGTAGAGAAAAATTAATTATTTTCGTCTAGACATCCCAAAATGCGATGTCCACATATGTGGACGCAGGTCCGAGGAGGTTAAGAAAACCTTTTTCACCATCCTGACACTAACGACAGCAATAAATGAAGAAAAATCCTGAGGAGAAGAATCACAACAACAACACTGTGCTGAATCAAATGCTGAAGCTTCAGAGAGTGCAGCTGTGTCCATCTTTGATCCAGTCTGTGGACGTGGCTGCTGAGCTGTACTCACCACGATACCTGACTGTTAGAGTGGAGACACGTACCAGCAGAGCAAGCTGGAGGGAGAACAAACAGCATTTAGAGACGTGCAGGTTTCATTTCCTGAGATGATGTGAGGATGTCAGGAAGTCTTACCACAGTTGTCCCTGATGTAGGTGATCAGCTGACAGTCCTGAGTCAAAAGGAAAGACCTGTGATTACATCCTGTACTAATGTTTCCTTAATGTGGGTGAGGTGGGTTTAAGGTGGACTTACAGTCATGGCTTTGCCTCCAGGAGAACCTCGGGGGCCCTGTGAACAGTGTGATATCTGACTACCATGACAGAAGAATGTTCCTCACATTTGATCAAACAAACGAAGATCTCGACACCTTTTGCCTCATTCACCCCTTCGTGTAAAGTCTTTTATCAAACATTCGCGCTCCGATGGAAGCACTTGGGGTTAGGATCTTGCACACGGATATTTGGCCTGCAGAGCGGAGCAGACGAGACTGAACCGCCAACGTTTGGTTAGTAGGTGACCTGAGCTACAGCCACCCCAAACGCTGCGTGAAGCTCAGAGATCTTTAAAAACCACACAAAGCATTTTCCAGTAATTTTGAACAAGACAGCGAGAAAACTGAGCTCTGTAAAGGACAGCAACTGCAACTGTTTAAACTAACCGTTAGAGTTAAGTTTGGGTAAAAAATACGTTTTCCTTTATCGTTGTAAGAGAGGACGAAATAGATTTAGAGGAAAACTAAAGTTTTCTTATAAATTAATCCACATCCAGTGATCTTTCTGGCTCCAGGCACTCAGTTTGTGCAGCATGAAGTCGGCAGCTTCCTAAAGCTTTTCCACACTCACCCTGTGTCCCGGATATCCCGGTTCTCCGGGGACTCCCGACTCTCCCGGCAAACCCGCGTTACCCTACGTGACGGGATCACAAACAAACGTCACTGACGGACTCAAAGACCGAGCTTGATTCAGTTATCTGAGCAGTGGACTCTCACCCCTCGGCCGCGGTTCCCTTTGGGCCCTGGATATCCTTTCGGTCCCTGCAGCCCCTCCTCGCCCTGCAGAGAAAGAAACACGGCTCGTGAGGTAACGCATTTCCAAATCCAAACACAAGCCCTCAAGTCAACTTGCTGACCACACTCATCCCGAGAATAAACAAGAGCGTTCTTATCTCCGGCCTCCAAAAGCTTCTGGACAAACACCAGCGAGTAAAACTGAAAATGTGCTTATTTATTAAGGTGGCCTGTCTCATAAATCCTCGAAAAGGATCCAGTCGACTTTACCACAAAGCTGTGAGAGCTCAGTGATGCTCTGCTGGCAACCTTTTGTGTATGAATGTGTGAAAGCTGCAGGCAGCACGGCGAGGTGTTTATGAGCCACCAGTGTAGGCAGGCTTGGATTAGTTTTACAGGAGCAGTAAGAGTTTAAAGGGTCCTGGGCTGCAGCCACGCAGCACCAGCAGAGGCTCCAGCAGCCGGTCCGGCCCACACACTCCCACCTCAACACGTCCAACAGCAGAAATAAATGTTTATTTGACCACAAACATTAAAGTTTCTTGGCTACTAACAGAGAAACAGCCCTAATTGGACCCTGCACGGGTGGGCGTGGCTTACATCAGCCTGTGCAACGACTCGATCCACTGAAGAGCTCCTGAACAGTGTTTCTGTGTTACCGTCTGTGAGTATCTGAAGTTTCAGTGCAGCTTTGATACGTTTGCAGTGACATCTCTGAACCCGCTCACAGGTCCATTCTGATTGGTCCGCGCCACGAACACCCGCTGACGTCCAGAAGCAGCGCGAGCGAGCAGCACCGTTTGAATGATGTGAGAGAGCAAGAAGCCAATTTCACTGCTCTCAGAGCGAACAGCAGAATCACACATCAGCTTTACACCTGCAGAGTTTCTGCTCAGCTTCGACGTGCATCGCAGCAAACACGCAGATTATTTCGTGTTCGCAGCACTTTCGTGGAGCTCTGTGAGCTCCTGAACTCGGTGGACTTAAAAACTCTCGTTGGACTTCTGTTAGCCTGAAAACGCTCCGATGTTTGGATCCTAACTCGTTTCTGATCCGTTCCCAGCAGGCCGCCTTTCCTGTCTGCGTGTTTACTGCGATTTAATGCCAGGATGGATTCAACCTGATCTGCTGTGAACTCACCCGAAGACCAGGGTAACCAGGGAAACCGGGATCGCCCTGCAAGACACGGCAAGAAACCCTCATAACTGTGAACGTTGTTATGAATGTGAAGCAGAGATCTAGCAGAAGGATGAAATACAGGATTGTGTATTGTGAAGGGTCACCTTTGCACCTCGGGGGCCCGCGGGTCCGTAACCATCCCGACCGTCCTGACCCTGAAACACAGACAGTCAGCGCCACTGACATCCAATCAAACTGTTTGTCTGAACAGAGCGGGCTCTCAGCTCCTTACCGGCATTCCTCGCGGTCCGTCTGGTCCCGGTGCGCCCTCATCACCGGGATCTCCTGGTTGGCCCTTTAACAGCAACAACAGGTTGTCATGGTGAAGATAACCTCCCCCTTCACACCAACTGGATTAACCCCCCTGGCTCTATATGTGTGGGTGCAGACTGATAACCAGGCCAGCTGGCATTAACCCATAACTGCGGTTAGAAGGCTAACCTGGAGGCTTCACAATTAAAGCTGATGACATTGTGGTAGCCACGCCCCCCCATGTACCCTGTATGGACGTACGTGTATGACCAACTTCCTGCCTTCAGGCCCTGCTGGGTGGAAACTGTGGAGGATGTAATCTCTTCATCTGACCTCTCTGAGTATTCGTCAGCTAATCTCATAAATGTGATCTTATCTGACGTGAAGCGAGGACGTTTATCAGATGTTAAACGATGATGATGTCACACACCTTCTGTCCGTTACCACCGGTCCGTCCAGGTAAGCCCGGGTCTCCAGCGGGACCTGGTCCACCCTGGAGGAAAAACCAGCAGAGTCAGAGCCACACACAGTTCCCTTTTACCTGATTATCCCTGAATGCACCGTGGACAGAGCCCGTCGGTCACAGAGCCTCCGCTCGTCATCAACTTTAACGGCGCTTATCCAAACAGGTGAAGAGTAAACATGGACGCCGCTGGGCGCTGCCAACTGATAAATCTGAGCTTCATTGGTCCTACATCTCCGCTCGGCAGCTCCTCAGTGACTTTTTATGAGATTTCCTCTTTGGATTTCCTAACAGCGGCTCAGGACTGAGCGCGTCTGGTAAAAGAGTCGAAGCTTAGACTGAGACGCTGCGTTTGAATGAGGGAGAGCAGACGTCGCTCTGGGCCGAACTCGACCTGTCTGTCGGTGTTTTCGATGGTGATTGAAGCAAACACAGCGACAGCTGCCTGCAGACTAAACTCGGATCAGTTCTGTTTAAAGTTTCCTCTGAGCGGGACGCTGGACGGTACAGCTTAAAGACTCGTGGCGCTGTGGGGACAGGCCGTTTGTTCGGTGCCTCCGGCCTGCGTCCAGCTTTACGGATGACGGCTTTGTTAAATAACAGACCGCACAGCTCAAAGTACCGAAAATTACATTTGAAATCTCAGCTGCAGCGTGTCTTTGCAGGACCTGGTTACACACATAAAACGTGTATTTCACTCTTTGTTATATTTGTTATGTTCTGTTACATTATTGTTCATCTTCCTGGCATTTGTATCGTTCTCTCTTACTGACCACTCAGCTCATCAAAAACGAAGTGAATGAATACATCAGTGAGTAAGCAGGCTCTAAGCTGTAGACTCTTTTGGTTGGCGGATGTATACGCTGGAAGAAAATAGTTCCTATGTAAAGTTTGGGTCATGATCTTTGGGACACTTATGTGTCACTTATGGTGTGTCACCTCTCTCCTCTGCAGCTGACATCTCCAACACTGGATGAGAAGCGCTGCAGGCCAGACGAACTGAACCGCCCTGTTATTCATTAATAACCAATCATGCTGCAACGGAGAGTGACGACTCTGGGGCGCAAGCAGCACTCGAGAGCGTTCGTTCTTGTTGGCGGTGGAATTCATGTCTCGTTTAGCTCAATGTAAAGAAATTCTCTGGTTTAAACGCAGAGCAGTGCACAGATCGCTGAGCTCAGACCACTTACACCAAATAAAACGAGCATTTAACGAGAGGACTTTAAGATGTGCAGGTTCTAAAGTGATGACATGACAGCGGCTTCGGGGAAGATCGGCCCAGACCGCAGAGGTCCAGGTGTTGGCAGCTGCAGCAGCGACCGTCACACTCGGGATTTATGAAACGCAGCGATGAAGGCTTCAAATCCGACGACCACAAAATGAGCCCACAGCGAAACGAGCCTTAACCAGGATGAAGAAACGAAAACCTCAGCGTCTCCAGAGACTCACAAACCAGGCCGTGGATTTGGAAATCGACCGTTTCTGTGTTGCATCTCGTGATTCTGCAGCTTTCATTAGTGTGTTTGTGTAATAAAGGGCAGATTCGGGGTCAAGTCGTCATGATGAGCGGACTCCACGGTTCAGGGTTTGGGCCTTCAGCTACACAGACAGGATCTTTGTTAGAAGCTGAACACACATCGGGGGCCACTGTTTAAGGTGCAAACTGCTGAGACGAGACGTTTCTACCACAAAGCCGACGTGAGGGAAATCTAAACCTCCAGATTGAGCAACAGTCCCAGAGCCAGCTGATCCCACCAGGCTGATCTGCAGCTTTACCAAATGTGATGCAAGAACATCAAACGTTTCATCGGCGCTTGCAGCAGCTCTGGGTGGCCTCCTCAGACTGAAGCTCCAGCCGAGCTTCAGGAATGAACACCTGAACCCTAACCATGAAACCATGAAACCATCCAGCGATCAGTCTGCAAATCGATCTAAAGCTGCTCCTCATCTCGCTGTGGGTCTGCTCCAGCGGTGACTCTGTGTTTATCCCACAGCTCGAGGAGAAGAAACTGAAAATCAACGTTTTCAATAAATGATCAGCTGACCTGAGGTCCAGGAAGGCCGGGGATTCCTCTCGGGCCAGGCTGACCTCTGACCCCTCCAGGACCCTGCAGAGACAAAGGGTAGCGTGTTAGCAGCAGCAGCATGCGGACATTAAGTGTGACTCTTCCTGCCCTGAAGGCTCACCTGTGGACCAGAAGCACCTTGGCTGCCTTCTAGTCCCAGATCTCCAGGTGGTCCAGCTGCACCCTGCAGACAACACACACACACTCGTTTTCATGTCTTAGTGAGAACGTTGATTCGACTGTAACCCTGACACTAAGACAACATTTTGAGCGTAAAAATGTCTTCAAACCCGTGAGGACGGACATTTGGTCCCCACAGGTACAGTAGCATGCCAATGTTCTGTCCTCACAAAGATGCCTAAACCTGCACACGCACACACACACACACACACACAAACACACACAAACACACACACGCAAACACAAACACAAACAAACAAACACAAACACACACACAAACACACGCAAACAAACACACACAGACACACACAATTTTGCCTGGGTCAGGCAAAATTGCAGTAGCTTCCCTGATCATTTTACAAACATAATCTATGAATCAAACTATCACCTGGAAACATAATTAACTGGTCCATAGCTGTGAAACTGGACATGAGTTCTTGATTCTATGGAGATTAACAGTAATCCAGAAATTTACAAATTTGTCCTGGGACATCG